CTATGCATTTATCTATCTATCCATCCATATGTATATATACATGTATATATATAATATATATAAGTATAAATCTATATGCATTGTGTGTGTATTTTATATATATATATATATATATATATATATATATATATATATATATATATATATATATATATATATATATATATATATATATATTTATATATATTACACACATACATATGTATACATACTTGCAAATCTAAGGTAACCTTTGCTTTCTGCAATCTCGTCTCTTGCAGAGCAGGGGCATCATGATTTCATATGTAATATCATATCATTCATATTAATCATAAATCAATACAATTCCCTTGTCTGTGAATCCTCCTCCTCACATCTTTGCATCCCTTTCTACAATTCATTTCGATTTATCTTTATCCCAAGAGCAGGATGATAGGTTTTTCTCCGTATCCTCATTAGCATGAATGTTCAGGATGAATGGATGCGGATTTTAATAATTAGTTTGTCTTTGGATTTCATCATTTTGTTCAATCAGGTTCATGATTTGGTTTTTAGAATTTTAACGTTAGAGGCAATATTTTTTTTTTCTGTTTATGTAACAGATCTTTGATTAACATCGTTTTGATTTCATGTTATTATCATCTTTCAAAATAATATTTTGAATTTCTATTTCATCATTAATTAAGGATGGAAAATGATTGTGCTTTTAGTTTATATTTTTTCAAGATTAATATCTAAATTTATAGCTTGAAAAGAGTAATCTTTTTAAATTTACGTATCATATTCAAGATCTTGCTATTGCATGCATTACTTCAACCAAAGTCTGACACTGCTCTTTGTTATTGTAAACCTCTAGTTCCTATTTGGTGAAGTGTGTTCTTGTATCACTTTGACATAAGATCTGAATCGACCCATTTACCCTCTGCATGTGCAAGCCTTTGAATTATTTCTGTCTGCAATACATGCCTATCTCGTTTGCACCTTCGGCCCCGCCCACGACGGCGAGCTGTGCTAGGCAAACCTTGCTCGGTGTGACGTCAGAAATGGAGACACTTAGTAAAGGTTTTCCCAAATGTTTATCGGTGTCTCGAGGCTTTGTCTTTGGTCGCCAGAGTGGGACGAAGGCGCTGCCGGGGGTTGGTCGGAAATCTACTTGTGGTCCAGGTTTCAATTCCATCAGTATTGTGATATGCCTCCCCAAGTCTTCTTCTCCTCTGTAGCCGCTAGTAACATTCTGACTGCTAAATCAAGGTCGTTTTGACAGCAACACACGTGCGGACAAGCTTAGGAGGTCGTCTATAGAAGTACTATATATACTTGTATAGACCTTAGCATAGGCCACACAGAGCAAAATTTTACGGAGCAAAATTCGCCCGAGAGGACTGGGCCTTAGTTTTTCTTATTTCATTTTGCAGTTTTGAATCATGCTTTTTATTATTTATTCCTTCCTCATTTTATGTGATTATTTGTGACCGATTCATTTCTGTATTCGTCAGAGACATGGAAATAATTTTGTGGGCAGTGCCATTGTGCATTTTCTACTAAATCATGTATTGTATCGTCTTCTGATTTATAAGTATGCATGTATTTGAATTTGAGCAGTAACTTTGCTTTTCCTTCGTCATTATATCTCTTTTGAGAGAAAGGAAAGGAAAATTCTTGCATTCAGCATCCCTTGAGGCTTGATTTTGAAGTTTTCTTTTAGCATTATATCAAACACAAATAATGTAAGGATTGCAACACTGAAATTAAGCAAAGAAAACAATCCCCGTTATTCAATAATACCGACAGCAGTTAAACGAACATTACGGTATCTAATGCTATGTAGATAGTGTCTAGTAGGAATACTTTAGAAAATATATATCAAAGAATTAAGTGAAGGAACGGGAGGCAAATTGACAATAAAAAATCAAGAATGGTTTTACACACTGTTTATTAACAAAGTGATTTTTTTTGGTTTATGACAGATTCCCTCCAAATACCGTATATACACACAATCAAACGAAGATATTTACAGAACATATTTCAGGAACTGGACACAATCTCTATCTTTACAGACGATTTCCCAGACACAGGGATTTCAGTTTGTTTTTAGCGATAAGTTGTGCAGTTTACCCTCTCACTAAGAACAAGATTTATGTGATAAATCTGTAATGTCTAAAACTTCTCAACAACACATGAAGTCTATAAATATAAAATGACCTTTTCATGTACTACAGTAAACCGAAAAAAAATATATGTACAAACCCAGGAAAACCAAAACCAATTGCATTCAACACACGATCTGTTACCTTTTAATTGCCACTAAATCCAAAATATCGGCCTTCTTATGGGCGTATATATATATACATATTATATATATATATATATATATATATATATATATATATATATATATATATATATATATATATATACATATATATATATTATATGAAAATGCAAGTTTATCTTCCGATGAGGCGCGTGGCGAACAGGAGAGCATCGCGGTGAAGCGTTAGATTCCCGAAGCCCAAAGGAAATTAACGTAATTTCTACCGAGCTTCGGTCTTCAACAGAAATGCCTTATGATCAAACTCTTTACATCTGAACAGAGTAATTACCGGGACAGGAAATGCAGCGGCGGCGGATTTCATGCCTACCTTGCCAAAGCGAGGAAGGCGATGAAGGCGGCGCACATGGCGAGCGACGAGGCGTGCGTGGCGGCGCCGACGGAGGCCTTAGGCGGAGGGCTGGCGCCGCTCGAGGACGAGGAGCCGGAGGGCGTCTGGGCCTCCGTCGCATCCCGCCGCCGCCGCTCCTGTCGGTCGAGGGGGTCATGGGCGTGGTCAGGGTGGGCGTCGTCCCTCGGGTGCTCCGGCCGGAGGCTCGGGTTGTCGCGCGTGAGGATGGCCCAGACGTCCTTCAGGATGGTAAGCTTCGTCCTGTTGCTGGCTTCTGACGCGGAGGCAGCCGAGCGGGGCGTCGTGGGCGGCCGTGTCGGGGCGTAGGCCTCGGCGGTCGTCGGGAAGTCTGACACGGCCAGGATCCTGTTCCGGCCAATGTCAGCGGACAGCTCCTGGTGGCGGAGCAGAGCGGGAGCGACCCTCCTCCTCGGGTCGTCCTGCTGCTGCGGGAGGATCATCTCGGGCGAGAGGTCGGCCGGCAGGGGCGGCGGCGGCACCGTGGTCTTCCGGCTCTGCGGTCGGGTTTGCGGGGAGAACTGCGGCAGGTGCGGCACTCTGTCGGGGATGGGCGGCGGAAGCTCCCCTCGGAAGGGCACCACCTGAGGGCGGTTGGTGATGGAGGCGCCCGTGACGCGAGGTCTGGTGGTGAGCTCGGGCGGCGTCGGCAGAGACTCGGGCGCCAGGCGGGTGCCGTCGGAGGTGAAGACCTGCGCCGACTCGGCCACGACCATATCCTCGCCATCTTTGGAGACAGGGAGGTTGATGATGATGGGGTGCAGGCCCTGGGGACCCACGAACTGGGGCACGGGGACGGGGTGGTTGTCGGGGAGGCTAACGTGAGAGATTATGCGTCGTCTGCTCGGCCTCGGCGTGGCCTGTGGCCGGCCCTGAGGCCTCCTCTGTAGCATGTTCTGTGGTCTTCCTTGAGGCATGTTCTGTGGTCTCCCAAGGCGGTTAACACCCGCGGGCTGCTGGGGGCTGTTAGGGCGTCTTGGTAGTTGTTGTGGAGGGCTGTTAGGGCGTCTTGGCGGTGGTTGAGGAGGGCTGTTAGGGCGCCTTGGCAGTTGCTGCTTTTGGGGTGGATTATGGGGCTTTAGGGGGCTGTTAGAGGCGGCACCCCCGAGCAGGGGAACAACAGGCACCATTGGCACTGGCAGAGGCATCGGAGGCGGTTCAAGGCTCTCGCTAAATGGCACTGACGGGTGGAAAACAGGCTCTAAGACATCGCTAGGAAGCTTCCCCTTGTTAAGGCTGATTGAATAGTCATTGTCATTAGTGTCGTCATCGTCGTCTACCTCAATGTGTCTGTGAGCGAACCTAACGTGGCCAGAGGTCCGCGGACCCGCAGGGCGTCGTCGGAAGGGCGGCACGGGTGGCCTCGGGTGCGCCCTTACCGGCTGGACGTCGGAGGAGGACACCTCGAAGGCCAGGACGGGCGAGGCGCCCTGCTGCCTGACGGGCCGGAAATCGTTCTCGTAAACGATTGACGAGGGATCGAAGCCGAAGTTCTGGGCGAAGGAATCCCCGAGGCTGCTCTCCTGAGGCGGGGCGGTGGTGAGGATTCGCGGGGGGCTCTTGGGGCGCGGAAGCCGGACCTCCGAAGGGATCTGGCCGGGGAGGCGAGGCAGGGACGGGGCCGTAATGACCTCGGGCTCTCGCGGCTGCTGGGGTCGCTGCTGGGGTCGCTGCTGCGGTTCCAGGGGACGCCTTGGGGGCCCTACAGGTTCGGTGGGCCGCTGCGGGGTTCCCGGAGGGCGTCGAGGAGGCTGCGGAGGCCCTTGGGACGGAGGCCCTTGGGGCGGGCGCCGGGGAGGGCCTGTGGGTCTGGCGGGGGAGGTCGTGGGCCAAACGCGCTCGGCCATGACGATCACGGGCTTCCTGCGGGGGGGGTGGGCGGGTCTGGCTGAGGGCGGCTGTCGCTGTGTCGTCGTCGTCCGCAGCGGAGGCGTGGACTGTCTCTGAGGGGCGGGCGGCCTCGTCGGTGTGGTCGGTCTCTGGGGCAAAGGTCGTCGAGTAGGTCGTGTCACCTCCTGAGTCGGTCGCGCGGAGGGCGTCTGTCGGGCGGGCGTGGTGGGGGCGGGCGTCTCCAGTGTCGTTGTGGTCTGCGGGGCGGCTGGCTGCTGGGGGGAGGTGGGAGGGCGTGAGGCCGTGGACGCGGAGGAAGGCAGAGTTGAGGGCAAGGATGAAGGGGGGGGCGTGGGCGAATGCGGGGAGGATGGCCTGGACTTCGGGGAGGGGGGAGGGGAGGGGGGAGGGGAAGGTCGAGGCCCAGGAGAGGACGGCTCCGCCCCGCCCCGGCTGGCGTCCGGGCTGGCGGAGGTCTTCAGCAAGTCGGGGAACTGGTTCCTCAAGGGACGCTTCGGGATCTCGTCGAAGTCGGGGAACGTCAGGTCGCCTTCCTGGGGGCCGAAGAAGCCCGAGGGGTCTTCGCTGAGCCCGGCGAAGGCGCTGGCGTTGACCACGCTGGTCGGGCTCTTCAGGCTGGGGAGCTTCGGGAAGGTGAAGCCCGGGGCCCCCAGAGGCAGCTTCGGGGGGCGGTTGGAAGGGCGCGGCCCTCCATTGGCAGGGCGGGGGCGCGGGCGCACGCGGGCAGGCTGCTCTGCGAAGCGGCCCTGGCCTCCGTCGCCAAAGCCGCCCATGTCGAAGGGGAAGCTGTCGAAGCCCGCGGGGAAGTCGTCGGGGAAGTTGGGGAAGGCGAAGTCCCCGGGGAACCTCTGGCCGCCCGGGTTGGGCGGCGGGGCCTTGGGGCGGGCAGAGGGCTTCCGCAAGCCTCCGCCGGGGATGCGGTTGAAGCCCTGCGGCAGGCGCTGCGTCTCGGAGTGCGTGGAGCCGCCCACTCGCGCGTCTCCTGTCTGGCGCTCGTCATAGTAGTCATAGTAGTCGTAGTCTGTAACGCAGGCCAGGTCAGCACACGAACTATTGCTACGCGGACGTAGGTCAGTGGGAGATGAATCAATGCAAAGCTTGTGAATGAGTCAAGATCTAGTGACAAATAATCTGAAAGACTATGTGAAATTTTGCAGATCATCATCTAGATTCCAAGGGAATAAAAGACGTATAAATATGTGCACCTACATGCACTTACGAAAATGATAAGCAAATTACTTTTGACGACAAACACACAAAGAAGTGACAGTACACAGAAGACTTAAATAATTTGACAGTTCATCAAGGGAAAATAATCGTTCAAACAGCGAAAGAAGACGGGAAAATATCGGGCTTAATATTTGCTTGTATGTTGCAAATGTCTCCATGCAAAATATTCAACATCTACGTATGTTACATTCATCATCATGCAATGAAATTACTTTAGAGAACTTTCTATTCTTAAAGCATATATTTATTTTTAAGTATATATTTTCTTAAAGAAAATATATACTCAGTATCTACGGTATGCAAATCAGCAAAACCCTAAATGACTGCGGAGACACGGAGTGCATTACGTGATACTTACTCAGGCTGGACCAGTGTAGGTGTTGGCGATGGGGTTTTAAAAGGGTGTCAACACTTTACTCACATAATGGAGAGAAGAGAGTTGAGGGGACACTGGTTCTTGATCTGTGACGATAGTCTAAAGATCTTGTATAATAATTAGATTGATAAACAGAAGAAATAAATAAATCGAGAGTTTTGAATTTCAGAAATACGAGAAGTTCCCAGCAAGACACGTAGCGAGATATTATTGGAACGCTCAGCCATGCTCGTTCATCTCGACGTGCAAAGTCCAATTGCACAAAATCTTAAAACAAATCAGTCATGCGAAATGTAAGTCTCAAAGTCCAACACACAGGCATGAGGGGAAAATGTGCAGTCAGTCAGAGCTTCCTAGGAAAGCCAAGTCAAGTTAATCGTAAAGAAGTCGAGGGAATAGAAGTCAAGTTTGGAGAAAGTCATGTCGAGAAAATGTGTCTTTGGCGAGGGCAGTTCCAGCTATACTTTCTTGAGTTAATTATTTCAGCCATTTCTTAATATGTCTTAATTATTCATATATAAATTAAAGTTCGAGGTCATACATAGATCCATATATTTCTTGGTTTAGCGAGAGCTTTGATACCACCTCTAAAATGTGACAAGAATATTGTATAATATTGTATACTGTATTTTTTCTTCTTTATTATAGTCTGGGTTCATATTGCTGTTGTGAATATTTCCTGATTTCCTGTGTACTGGTTATAAGCTTGAGGTATTTACTAAGCATTTCTTCAGTACAGCCGTTCCAATTTTCTTAAATAAACTTGTGTATAAAAGCACCGACTCTTTTTATTTTAGTTATGGCTACCAAACCAAGTTAGCGAATCCCATTTTCTGTGTAACTGCGAACCACGTGTGTGATCAATTGCAATAAAAAAAAAATCTTGTGCTCTTGTGATAATTCGAAACCAGATTAATTTCGAAAAGCAATCTGGAACTGTGTGTGTATGTGTGTATGTGTATATGTGTGTGTGTGTGTGTGTGTGTGTGTGTGTGTGTGTGAAGGGAGTAGGGAGGGGAGGGGAAAGAGAGGAGAGGGGGAAAGGGAGGATAAAGGAAAAAATGGAAGAGGTGGTGAAGGAGAGAAGAGAAGAGAAAGGAAAGGGAATGAAAGAGGGAGGTGAGGGAGAGCGAGAGCAGTGAGCGGAGGAGGAGGGAGAAAGGCAGGAGGAGGAGGAGGAAAGAGAAAGGTCGGAGGAGGAGGGAGAAAAGGAGGAGGGAGAAAGGGGGGGGGGGGAGGAGGAGGAGGAGGAGGAGGAGGAGGAGGAGGAGGAGGAGGAGGAGGAGGAGTGAGGTGGAGTATTGCAAGCTGCTGTGGAGTTGTTGCAGCCGTGGCAAGAGATGTTGCAGCCGTGTTATGCAGAGAGGGTAGAATAAAACACGGAACAGAAAGTAGGGCTGTCCATCACCCAACGGTTTCTTAGAGAGACAAACAAGCTAACAAGCACCAAATGTACAAATAAAGATAAGTAGATAAAATCTTACAATGTATATATATATATATGTAAAAAATACAGAGGGGGACAAGACATTATTTGTCATAAAAGAAAACAAAATTAAAACATTACAGAGAGAAATACACAAGGAGAAAACGTAAAATAAAATTTCTTTTCTTAAATTTCAGTTTAAAATGCAGGTAACTGATAACAATTTTTTGTATAAATCCAAACAACAGAAAAATACATATGCAAGGCCATGGGATGGAGGCAAAAACCACACACACAAAAAAGGTGTATCCCTGACCTTGGGGTTGAAATATGTAAAAAAAAAAAAACACTGAATATCTTTTGGAAATTAAACTACACCGTCTGTTTAAAATGCCTCCACCCTATGCCCGGCAAACAGAAAGATAAAACGGATTAAAATAAAGTTTTCCCAAGAACTTAAAGTTTCCTGTTGGCGTGGCTTTTGGGATTCAAGTCCTGCCCAACTACACAATAAAGTTATGATGCGGAAAAACCTAAGATTTTTTTTTTCCCTTCTTGAAATGTGAAACGAAGACAAAAATCACAAATCACAGATAGAGGCAATCCTTTACAGTTTTAAAAAAAGGAGAAAAAATATAAGTTGCCTGAGGATAGACTGGCTACTCAATGAGGGTTTCACGTACACTTTCACGCACACTAGCACACGTACATACATACAACCGATTCAGAAATACAGTCACATCATGTACGTCCACAGGCACACATGAGCGAGCCAGGAAACGGAACTTAATTTTGAACGTAGGATTTTTTTTTAATCTGCAAATCCGTATTCGAAACCTTATTTTTCACTCAACATCGTTTTTAATTCCAAAAATTGGTCCCTTGAAATATCTTGACACTAAAAATCAACAAGATACCTACTTTTAAATTCAAAATCAAGCTCAGTTTTTAGCCGCATTATCGTAAATCTATGTTTATAAAACTCTGGAGACTTAAAACTTAAATCACCTAGTATATATCAACTATCACTTTTTTTTAAGGGCTTGCCTAAAATAAGCCGTTTTATTACATATGTATATCATGATTTAACCTGAAAGGGTCACGAGCCTAAAATAAAACTTGAAAATAAGAAACCAGAAATTAAATGTAATTTCTTTTGCTGGAGCATGTAAAAAATGAAAAACAAACAAACAAAAAAGCAGCAAAAAACTTAAGGTAATACTGTTGCATCATCAATATCATCTCTGGATGTTTTCCAGCTTTGCAATTGCATATGCCTTAGTCTAGCAACCTCTGCAATGGCGTTCCATTAAACAAATGTTGGCGGGAAAAAGAGACAGTTTACGAAGAAAAAAAAATTCGCCAAAATCTGAAAAAAAAAAATTGTTTCATTTCTTTTCTCTCTTTTGTTAGATTTCTCAATCTCGAAATTCTGTTTCCTCGTTCCTCCTCTTACAAGACGCTCTTCGCAAATACAGTGAAGGGAGAAATACGGGAGAGGAGAGAAAGGGAGATGGGAAGAGAGGAAGAAGCAGAGGAAAGAAGGAATGAGGAAGGAGGAGAGAAAAGGAGGAATGAGGAAGGAGAAAAACAAAGAAAAATAATAAAGGGAGGAGTGAGGAGGAGGAGGCAAAAGGGAAGAGGAATGGAAGTATTGAAGGAGAAGAAACAAAAACGAAGACGAAGAAAAGGAAAGCAACACAGGAACGAAGAAAGTAAACAAGAAAAAGGGGAAACAAAGAACGGAACGGAACAAGGAACCGAAGAACGTAAATGAGGAACGAAGAAAGTAAAAGAAAAGAAAAAAAACAAACATTAAAAAGTAATAAAAAATAATAAAAGTAAAATAAAGGAAATGAACACAACGGAACGAGGAACATGAACGAGGAACGAGGAACATGAACGAGGAACGAGGAACATGAACGAGGAACGAGGAACATAAGCAAGGAACGAGGGACATGACCGCGGACCGAGGCAAAGCCCGACCTCGCGACCGGCACAACACAGGAGGGGGACCGAGCAGGGCATGTTAGGGCGTACCTTCCTGAGGGCCGGGCACCACCACCGGCTGCCCCACCGTGCCCGCCGCCTCGAGGGGCTCGAAGTCGCAGGCGTCGACCACGTTGATCTTCCAGCCGAGGTAGCGGTGGGTGTAGCACTGCGGGGGAGAAAGGGGAGGAGGAGGGGGGTGGGAGGGGGAAGAGGGGGAGGGGAGGGGTGGGGGGAAGGAAGGAGGGAGGCACAGAACGGGGTAGAGGAGGAGGAGGAAGGAGGGGATGGGAAGGAAGGAGAGAGGGAGGGAGTGAGGGAGAGGAGGGAGTGAGGGAGAGAAGGGAGTGAGGGAGAGAAGGGAGTGAATGGGAGAGAGGGATGGGAAGGAGGGAGAGAGGGAGGGAGCGAGGGGAGAAGGGGGGAGTGGGAGAGATAGGATGGGATGATAGGAGGGGGGAGGAGGGGGATGGAGGGAAGTTATTATTAACTGATAATAACCGTACTTTTGAGAAGCGAAGGGCAACGCGCAGCAAAGGGAGATTGATTAGTTATGTCCGCTCACTATGGCGACGATTCACTGGCATCATAAAAATAACTTAGTGTATGGTTATTAACATAAAAAGAAATGTATGCAAATCCCGTGACACAGTGACGCATAAACATCAACAAAAGCACAAAAACCCAGTGATGCCTACTCTATAACAAATAAACAAAAACAACAACAAAAAAACGGTGACATGTAGAGAAAAAAAAAGAAATAAAACATTCCCACACCGAGGGAGGTTTAATTGCAAGTAGCATCGAGTGCAAGAAACGAAAACCGGATATTGTGCCTCGATGCCCTCGGGCTAAAAAAAAGGGTTGGCAGGAAATGGATCACAGAATCGGAAAAAAAAAACAGGGAAGATATTCTGTAGATGCTATTGGTAATTACTGACAATGTATTATTGCTATTATTATTATTATCATTATCATCATTTTTATTATAATTATAATAATAATCATTATTCTTATTAACATAATCAAAAAGTATATGGAATGAAAAAAAAAAAATGTATATAAATATGTATGTAATATATATACACACACACACAAACACACACACACACACACACACACACACATATATATATATATATATATATATATATATATATATATATATATATATATTAGAAAAGGTTGAAGACCAGTAATGGAAAGCTATGAAAACAAAAATAATAATAACAATGAAAATAATAAAAAAACAAAGCAAAGGCCCCGAGGCCGCCCCCGGCCGAGCGCGCCCACGCACCTGGTAGAAGACGGTGTCGGGCGTGGCAGCGTCGGGCGTCCACTGCAGGATGCCGGGCTGCCCCTCCTGGCAGTCCAGCTGCAGCGTCCTCTGGTAGGCGCCGAAGGACTCGAAGGCGTCGGCCGGCTGGTTCGGGTTCTCCGTCCACTCGCACAGCCGCCCGTACGCCGTGGGCACCGGCACGCCGTCGCGGTCCTGCCCCACGCCCGCGAACACGCGCGTGCGCTGCGGGGGGAAGGCAGTGTTAGGATGAGTGATTGAGGGGGAGGGAAATGGAGGGGGGGCTGGGTGTTTGGGGAAGCAACTTTTTATATATTTTTTATCTTCCTGTCTCTCATTTTCTCTCTTTCTCTCACTCTCCTCGGTGCCGCGGGATAAAATGATGGGATAAAACGAAGACCTATAGTTCTGCCGAAGCAGGAGAGTTAAGAGGATTATCAATAAAGTCGTGCAACTTTAGTGTTTCTCTTGTAGTCACGCCGATGAGACACGAGTCGATTTGCATAGTTTAGAAATTTTGATGAAATAACACACACGGTTTTGTGAACTTCCTAGAATTCGTGGTAAAGGCAGATGAACAAATTATATTTCATAAACCTTCTTTGTTTTTGTTTTCAAATCAAACTTATGATATATCGTATGACTAATTTTAGGCCGGTAATCCAGAGAGAGATTTTTTTTTTTTTTTTTGGGGGGGGGGGGGTTAGTATCCGCTATACGAAGAGAAGACAGTGTTATAACGAGAAAGCATTTCAGAATCGTCCACGTGAATAATACAACGAGATAAGATTTCCCATTATGCCTTACGATGAAAATGAATCTCCGTTACTCAAAACCTTAATTTGATTTCAATATCTATACATATTAAAAAAATAATAATAATAATTTAGCTCCTCAGCGATCGGTTTACAAGAACATTAATACCTTTTATCATCATCCAAAGACACAATCATCACAAATATCACCTTTACAGAAGCACCGGAGAAGGTTCTGGATCTTGAAAGGTGACGCGGAACTTAAAAGAACTTATTAAAATTCTTGTGAATTCTTCTTTTCTTTTCTTTTTCTTTTTTTTTAAGGCCTTCCACGTAATCTGAAAACTTGAAGGCGCTCTTCAAAACAGATGGGAGGAGGAGGAGGAGAGGAGAATGAGAGGGATAAGGAAGAGAGGAGGAGAG